AAAAAAAAATATTGTATTTTTTAGGAACTTTATCATTTTTAACAATTTTTATTGAGCTTAAGGACGTTTTTAATGAAAAAGTTATTGTGGAAAAGCAACAATAATTTGAAAAAATTGTAGAAGTGATAGCTATTTCGGAAAACACCACATTTCCTCATCAGACTTCTTTTAGTAGGATTCGAACCGACGATCCCACTGACTGTGCTAAGTTCGCCTTGTGAATTCTTGTTGCTTTTTTCCGCTATTTCATTTCTTAAGCCAACTACAATCAAGCGCAGCTATTCCAGTGCTATTTAAACTTGATCATGTGGTTGTTGGTTTTTGTTAATATTTCTATTTTTAGAATGTGTTTAACTTTTAGGTGTGCTCGTCGGTAAGTTATTTATTTTTTTATTTTTTTTAATTTCTGGATTTTTTTGTTTTAAAAAGAAATATAAATTTTTTAAATTTCATTTAAATTTTAGAAACGTATTATTTTTTTAATTTAAATCTCATTTTATTTTAAGAAAACATATTGTTAAAAGACAAACTGTTGAGACCTTCTCGTTAGCAGATCTTTCAATTAGTCTTTCGAAAGACAAAAAAGAGCTTTCAAGATACATAGTTGCCAAAATTGGCAGTTGTGTGTACGATTAAAATGCGGATATCCGTTCTCTTTTGTTATACGGATATCCCCATGTCTGATTAATATCCTTTAAACTTTCTGTCCATTTTGTTATCTATATATTCGAATATCCGGATTATCCGTATATTCAAAAAATCCAGGTAGAACTCCCAGCCCAGCCATCCCCAACGGAGAGAGCCACCCCAGAGGGAAGAGGAACGTTCATAGACCTGCCGGTTGATAACACAAATGCCGTTAAAGTTCTGGCGAATAGCCGAAATAAGTTGTTGGTTTCATTTTACAAACGTCGGGGCACACAATTTGTACAATTCAGATATTATTCTTCTTTCTCTAACGCTGTATTAATACTGTGATTTATAAATAAATATCTTACTACTGATTTTGAATTATCTCTAAGCTATACAAATTAAATTATTTAATCAAAATCTTTTTTTTTCGACTTTCCCACAAAATGACGACCACCAGATGTTTGTTTTCTGCCAACATCCAACGAGTTTGCTACCAAAGCCTTTAGTATTTGGCCGCATGCTAACAGCCCAGTGAGCTGTAACAAAGCAAAGGAAAACATTTTTGCGCTCAAATTGCTTGATGCTTGGCACAACAAATTAAATTAAGCTGTAAATTGTCACCTGCTGCTCGCCAACTGCAACGAATGTAACGTAACAACAATAACAGAAGCAGCAGCAACGGCAGCAACTACTACAACAATATGCTGGTAGACAACCCACAGACGAGGAACAACTAGCAAAAGAGTTTTCTAAGCTTATGTACATATGCCCGTTAGCTGGTTTATTCTTCAAAAAGTTCTTTTTACCAACTTTTCACTTAACATGTAGCATTTTGTTGCATACACTTCTTAGCGTTGTTCTTGTTGCAATTCGCTTGCCATTTTTATGTGTCTCGCGTATTTAACACCTGATTCGCTTGTAAGTTGCAAATCACCGGCTACAAAATACAACACCTACAGTCGACAGACCGAAGAAGGTACGAAAGGTAATGAAAAAGTTGTTGCATCAGCAGGATTTCCTGCAACAAGTGTCGGCACAGTGTTGTCGCGTGTCCTTTGCGCATAACTTTAAATGGAAAATTTGTGTCTCAACACGGCAGCGACATTTGGTGCTAAAAAGGCGAACGTATTGGCATGCATATTGCATTTTTACATACTTACTTATGTACTTCCACACTTGCATTTAGTTTTTTGTTGCTGTTGGCTCGCCAGTCAGCTACAGCAGTTGTCGCTTTTGTTGCACTACATTAAATTATTTGTGTTTCATGCAACTTTTTTGCTTGTTGTTGCACTTGTATGTTGTTTGAAATTGAGATCTGTTGCTGCCACTGTCGACACATGTTGCTTTAGACTTTCGGCGGCATTGATGTTGACATGCAATAGTTGCATAGCATGGAATTAACATTCATTTTCGTGTGTTCGTCTTACTTCCAGTAGTAGCAAGAATTTCGGAAAAAAATTCGTTGTTGCCTTGTTTTGGAAAATTCAAGATGCCAAAATGTAAAGGTAAGAATTTCATGGTACGAGTAGTCGCAAGTTAATACATTGATTATATAGCTATATGAAGTTGCGAGAGAGGAGTCACCTGCATCACGCTATTATGTAACTCTTTCAAGTCCTTTTCAGAACTTCCATCAGCCTAGCCGTTTGACCCAAGGTTTCAATCCCGCTGCAGTATTCTTTGAAATAGGCGGTTAAATTAACGACCGCCTCATCAATGGCTTGAGTGGATCGTATCCTAGGTGGTGTCGTGGTCTGATTTCGAAGCTCCTGCCTAAAACACGGTCAGTCCATTTTTGTCAAGGTTTGCATTTGCGCAGAGGAAATAGCACCCTCGCCAAGTTGAAACTCGATGTATCTGTGATCCGAGAAGGAATTTTCCCTCAGGACTCTCCAGTTTAGGACTGATCACCCAAAGCGTGATCTAGATAGGGTTAGATCAATCACTTCCTGTCTTCTGCGCGTAACAAATGTTGGCTTGGTACCCACATTCAATATACTCAGCCCACTCGACAAAATATTTTCGAAAAGCCGATCTACCTTCGTCGTATTCCCCCTGTTTTTGCCTTTGAAGCACAACCTCGCTGCCACCAAGTCCTGACAGCAGAACTGTGCAAGTTTGGTCACAGTAAAGTGATAAGACACTAAAGAGATGCTCTCGGTCTGACCGAGTTTTCGTCGAACATAATGTAACCCACTCAGTCCACAGGGTTTTTGTTTGTAGCAGGGTTAGCCTTGTACTATGATCAAAGGTGAAGTTCCCCTGTAACCATACAGCGTCTTTCCTGTTCTGTCCTTTTAAATATTCCCAAAGTCCTCTTGATCAGTGGGGTCACCAGACACCTATCGGAACGTCGTACCTGGCTTTGGAGGCTAGTTGGTCTTGGAGCGGTGCCCCGTGATGATATCGTTGCCCTGTGTCGCAGTCATCTTATTTGTCATTATCCGCTGGGTGGTGAGCTTACTACACGCAAGCACAAGGCTATCAATATTTGCGCTAAAGACATTGATGTTTGTTTCACTTTAGTGATAGGAACTCTCTTAAGCATTTTTTGTACCAGGTGCACCATGACGGGTGTGGTTGCACTTATTGAATTAAAAAAAGTAAGTGCGCCTGGGCCACACTGGAGAAGTGAAACTTACGTTACATATCTATTTTGTCTCATAACCAATATACATACATACGTACATCTGCTTTTGCTTAAGGTTATATTTTTGGTCTTTTTGCTATTTAGATCCCTACTTCTACCCCTGTTCCTTCTAATTACATTTATGTTATTCTGTTTTCCTTTTTCATCATTTTTATCTTTATACTCTGTCGATAACAAAATCGATAGTAACATCCAACAAAATATCGATAACAAAACCAATAAAAATATCGATGACAAATTCGATAAAAATTTCAATAGCAAAATCGATAATAATAATGGTAGCAAAATCGATTAGAAAATCGATAAAAAATACCAATAACAAAATCACTAAAATTATCAATAACAAAATCGATAACAAAAATCTATAATAATATCGATAACAAATATCGATAACAAAATCTATAACAAAAATTTTTAGAAAATCGATAAAAATATCGATGACAAAATCGATAAAAATATCGATAGCAAATTCGAAAAATAGTCGATTACAAAATCGATAAAAATAACGATAACTTGTATAAAAATATCGATAATAAAATCTACAACAATGTCGATAACAAACCCAAAAAACAATTTCGATAAAAAATATCGATAAAAATTGTTAAAAATATCTGTTACAAAATCGATAACAGAATCGTTTAAAATATCGATAATAAAATCGATAAAAATATCGATTATTATATCGTTAGGTTCCGAAGATATCGATCGCAAAATCGATAAAAATATCGATTATGTTATATAAGTCCCGAAAATCTCTAAAATCCCGAAATAGTTCACAGATTGAGTCTCTGTTGCTCCATCTATATCCTTTTCTCTATAATTACCTTTATTTTAATCTTTCTTCCTCTATCTTCATCTATAGTTTTATCGGTATCCTCATCCTCAGCTTTTTCTTTAATATTCCCCTTCACTTAAGTAAAGTGTCTAAATTTACATTGATCTTCATTTCTGCCTTTATCTTTATGCATCTTTGTTTTTGTTTTTATTTTTGCCTTTGCCTTTATCCTTTTCTTTATCTATCTACGTACTCACCTTTACTTACATTCTTGTATTGGTCTTTTTCTAAGAGTTATTCTATAACCTTTTATTGGCAAGTTTTTTGTTAAATTCATACCATGTGCATACACTCAAGAAGCACCTGTTTCAGCCCCAGCCATTTCCGTTGCACCATTTCCGTGTGCAATTTCCCTTGAATTTGCCAATTTACTCCCATCCAACCAACCGCCGCTAAATAAAAAATCCCGGCACTGAAACCAAAAATTACTTAAAAAATTAATTAGACCCCTCCCTAACTCCCTAGAATTCCCATACTACACCCTATAGGGTTTGATTTTAAATTTTCATAGAAAATAAGATGTAAGTGTATTTCTATGTTTTTACAAGATTAGCTGAGCCAAGGCAGAACCAAGTAGTAGCTAAAAGACAACGGCAGATCCAGATAAAAAAGGATACTGCATTCCTGCTATTTAATTAAAGCATAGAATATAAAATTTCAGACCGATCGAGAAACATTCCTTGAATCAAATAAAATATTACGTAACAACAATATTTCCAAATAAACTTACCTCGATTTTTATCTATAATCCTGGATTACGTTGTAAAAACATGGTGATGGATAATGTTAGAGAACGGCCGAATTCGATACAGCTTTAAGTTTTGTTACAAGATATGCATAGCAAACATGGAACATCTCCTTTGAGAACGCTTTACCACTAAATTTATCATCCGCACATTTACACGAATCTTTTGCACCCACCTTAGTGCAGAGCATTTAGCTTTATTTTTAATATGCGTGAGCTCAAGAAGTTACAAGTACTGAGGCTCAATTTTGCATGTGGAATCAAATAACAAACAAGTAGGTACATTATTTAAAAAATATTAAATAAATTTCAAGTGCACATATATCTATTTAATGGGGCAAAGCTATGAAAAAAGTCAAAGATTAATTAGACTTTTTAAATGCATAAATAACAGCAAAACCAAATTGGAAGTACAAACATTAAGAAATTAAAAAAAAATATATATATATCCAATCAATATCTTTCATACTTTGGTTTGTGCATGCCGCCAACAACGCCACCACTGCCAGCACCCACGCCCCCACCATTGCTGCCGCCAACGATATTCGTTGACAAATTGCCGCTGCTATTGTTGTTGCCACTACTGTTATATGATGAACCATTTTTATTACTGTTACTGCCATTATTGCCCGAAGTACCACTGTTGTTATTATTATTACTGCTATTTCCATTGCCACTACCGCCTACTGCTCCTATGCCGCCTGCGCTGCCGACGGCTGTGGTTGTGGATAATGTATAGACTTCATAGTCAACAACCGTGAAATTGTAATCACCAAAGAGTGTCAAGTAAGAGGCGTTAGGGCCATCATACGAATGAGGCAAATTCGAATACGAATCCATATTCGTATTGCAATTATTGGCGATGAGCAAATCAGCGCCAGCACCGAAAATAGGACCGCAACTTTTGGATGACAAAATAAAGAAAACAATAGTTAATTGCATATCTTGCTAAGCAAACGATAACTAGAATTCGTTACTCACTCTGGGTGATAGCATATGGCATAGGGCTTCTTGATTATATCAAACTTAACGGATGGATCACCACCAGCGGGATTGAGCGCGAATAAGAATGCGCGCTCCGAATGTATATAACCGCCTTTACGACTCGTTTTT